TCACATGGAGTGTTTGGGAACGTTTTTGTGTGATGTTATTTTTGTATAGTTGCTCAAGTGTCTGAGCAAATACGACAGTGATTAGGTTTGTATTGTATCTAATAGGGAAAATGTTAGAAATGTTAACAGAACTTATACACCATTTTCAGTTTGTCACGTTAAAGAAAAATTAAACTTATTTGTGTTAAAAATAATGAAAAATATAATAAATAAACTAATAAATAAGATTTAAAAGGAACCTTTTGAATTTGATGATGTCATGAGGATTGCATCATATCATAAAACATTGTCACTTCTTATGCAAATAATCATAGTCGCTAAAAGTTGTTAATCCTGAAAAGAATGTTAACTCATGTACTTGGTAGCTTTAATTTGTCAATGATGTGTATTACATACTTTTTGTACTCTCCACTAGCCACTTTGGGCGATCAAGTATTACGATTATAGGAACACATTCCTAAGATGGAATCTACCCACCTTGCGGAGTTATCCACTTGACTGATTTTGACCATGATTATTACGTAACCAATTCAATGACTTTGTGATAATCACCACTGTCTTAAGATTCATTTATAAGCTTGGTTTTGTACAAAACGTTTTCCGTTTTTTTTTTTTTTTTTTTTTTTTGGTTTTTTTTCTGCTTATGTTTTAGTTATGTAGTAGCTATTGGGGTTGCTTGGAAACCTTTCCTTACAGCTTGGAGAAACAGATATACTGCTGACCTTTGAGTTTTCATTTTTAGTTTCACTTGTATCATTGTTTCTTCTTTAATACTTTGGTTGGTGAAGGTTGATTTTTTTGGTTATCAGCTGGGTGATTCTTAATCAGCCTTCCATTTCACACTGCATCAGCCATTTGCAAAAATGTGAACCGAAATTTGACTTTATATGATTTGCTTCTGACTAAATTAAGATGACTGAGGTTTGAATCAATGGGGTGTGAGAAGAAGGGTCAAGGGAGAACAACTAGAACTGTCTGCTGCATCAGATGATGTGAGGAGCTTCTGTTCTTATTTCTCTAGCACTTGAGGTGAACTCTTGTTTTGAGTTTGATATTGCATGGGTGGCTTCAGACCTTCGTTTGATTGGGAGGTCTATAATTGATTCTTGCCCAGACAAAGAAAGAAAACCTAATTGAGGACCATTAATTGTGCTAGCGATATGCAAAGTGCATGCAAGGAATTATAAGCATTATTTTCAGAGTTTTTTTTGTTTTGTTTTTGCTAGTCTGTCAGAGGGGTAGGTTTCGAAACCTAGACTACTGGTCTGAGGCCAAACACTCTTAACCATTAAGGTATGTGCAAGATTCAATCCAATCCGTTCAAATTGACCAATTCAATTCAATCCAATCCAATTTTAATCGGTTTTGATGATTTAGCGGATTGAATTGGATTCTTAATTTCCAAAACCGACATAATTGGATCGGATGATAGATTTGATAATTGAATCCAATCTAGTTAGTTTCATGCTCATTTTGCTCATTAGGTAATTCTCATTAAGAAAGTTGTGAGCATTTAAGTAATTTGATGGAGTTATGTTTGATATATTATAAAATCAAAATAATTTTCTCCAACATTTTATTTATATTTTACACGTACATCTATTAAAATGTTTGATTATATTAAACTTGACGATATATGTTTAATATTTTATTATTACTTTTTTCCAATACGAAAACCAATCATCCAATCCAATATCAATTGTATCGGACCGAATATGCCAAATTGTATTGGTTTCAAACCAACGTATACCCCTAGACCCCATTGACTTTTAGAGATTGACCATTGTAAAGGCCCAAAAATCCAAGGTTGGGCCCAAGCTTAATTCGAGCCAAGCGCAATATTTAACTGAGAGAGAAGCCCAACCGAGGTATATGAGAATTTGTCAGACGCGCTCATACAAATTGTGGGTCACGTGCCACGCCAAACAAACACGCAAAGCCACCACACAAAAGGGTCAAAACGAGCTCGTAAAACGTACCGGCTATGTAAACCCACATTCACTGACTTGTTAAGTGCTATTTGGCCTAGTCACAACCTATTACCACATCATGGAACTCAAGCATAAACATGCCAAATAAACACGTTATGCCAAGTTGCGCTAAGGCTCAAGTGGGCCCAAGCCATGTGAATATCTGGGACTTGTTGAGAAGGTTGTGGTATGGATAGGTACGAGCACTCACAAGGCCCATTGAGGGTTCAAGGGATAGAAGTTTAGGGCTACTTAGGAGCACCAAAACTCAGGCCCGTTTCTTGGGCCTAAGCACATGGGTAAGCAATAGAGAGAGAGGGTGGTTCAAAGCCTTGAAGAAACATCATGTGACCTGCGACACTTAGAGAAACCCACAGTAGCTAAGGTGCCCAGTGTTTCGTTAAAAGCCACTTCCAACAGCTTGACGAAACCATAAAAGACTTAGCTGACTACTGTAAATAGGAAGCAGTGAGCCAATGCCTTAGGAAAAAGCCCAGCCCAGCGCCTTATAAAAAAATCTAGCATCGTATCTAGCTATTAGAACCAAGTCAAACAGGAGCCATTGCAAAGACCAAAGGAAATTCGCAAGATAGATAGAATACCCATTGGATTAAGGTCCCTACCCTTGTTTCTTTCTTCTTCAAGTTTTAACAAGAAAACCAGAGGAAAAAAAAAAGGGTGGCTCCTTACCCACATGAAGAGGTCCAGCTACGCAAGAGACTTGGAACCCTGAAAAACTTCAGGCCTATGGGTTTAGGCTAAGGAAGTTTTCACTGAATAAGATCGAATGGAAGAAAGTCAAGAAAAAGAGGGAGGGAGTCTTGATAAAATAGAAGGCTGGAGTGCCTATAGAAGGAGGCTTCTTCAACCTAGTAAAGACATCATCATCTACAACACGACCAAGCTTTTATCGATCAACTGGAAATCCACTCAAGAGACCCCATTCTCTGCTTCTATCTCTTACTTTCCCCCTTAGTTTAAATCTTCCCAAAAAGTTTTGTTTCATTTAGAAATTCATGCTCTTTCTCTCTAACTGCTAAACTTGAGAAGGCTTAACTCCCATGCCACAAGCTTCTCAAGCCAAGCCATATTATCAATCTGCCATGTTCATCTGGTTATTGGTGAAAGGAATCCAAGGTGTTTTCTAAGGTTTCACAAACTTTTTCAAAACTCTATTGGAGCCTGGTTCTTGAAGTCAGACCACAAGGGAATTTTGTTTGTCTTTTCCTTACGGCAGCCCAAGCCCATTCGTCAGGCTGCTGAAACAAAAAGACCCCTACAACCATATGTATATTATGTGTATTGTTTTGCTCATACACTACAAATAGCATTCTTAAAAAAAAAAAATTAAAACATTAGTTCCAGCATCAAAAGATGTGGCTCCTATTTGGCTATTATTTTCAACTTTGAATTCAATTATCAAAATCTTATCATTGCTTCTCCCAAGCGCCATGGTGAGTTACAATCTACTGAAGCAATTGATATCGGTGAACGTGAGGCAAGTATAGTAGAGGTGTCAAATGGGTCATGATGGGCCGCACCAACCCGTTTATAGTCCGCCCACATATTTGTTTTTTCAAAAAGAAAACACATTTGTTTGATGTTTCAAAATATGTGTTTAGTTATGTGCTTGTTTATATTATTTACTTCTTTGCATTATATTTGCTTGTTATGTAAATGAACTGATTAGATTTATAAAATTTTACTTGATGTTTGTTTTAAGAAAAATAGGTAATAGAAGTTTATAAAATTTTACCCTAATATAAGTCCTCCTAACTTTGTCCTCCAAGTACAGGTATGATTTACTTATCCTACTCATACTCTACCAAAATTACATTTACACCTCATACTTAACTAACTTAAGCATCAAAATCTCCTAGGCCGATACCACACCAATGTCCTTGTGGCTTACCGATCGCCTTGTCTTTGGACATGAACAAAAATTATCTTCATAGAGAAACAGATACCATTCTTTCCCCATCAATTTCAACAATCTAAGGGCCTATTTGATAACCATTTCAAATTTTTTTTTTCCAGTTTTTAGTTTTCATAACTTGTTTGGTAACTAATTTCAGTTTTCATTAAACAAAAGTTGTTTGGTAATTATTTTCAATTTTATGTGGAACTTGGAAATGGAATTTTTTTAAGTCAGATTGTGAATTTGAGATCATAAAATGAAAGTGCATGTTACAATGAGGTCGTAGTATACATCGGTGAATTTTTATGGAATTAGGATGATTTTTTTGGTGAATTTTGGATTTGGAAGTCTCGAGTCTTGGACTTGGTCTGTGGTAGAATGCAAGAATCGAGTGGTCAAGTCCAAGTTAGGACCCTAAATACTGAATTTTGGTAATTGGAGTGCATTTCATGTGTGGTGATGTAAAGTTAAGGAATGAAAAAGGATAACAAAAAAGAAATTTAACATAAGAACTGAAAACAGTTTCAAGTTGTTAATGATGATTTTGAAAACTAGATTTCATTTTAAGAAAAAAAAAAAACTAAAAATATAATCTATTACAAAACATGTTTTCAGTTTTCAATTTTCAAACAAAATGAAAATGAAAAAGAAATGTTATGAAACAACTCCTAAGCAAATCCCACAAAGTGACCAAACTTTGCATGTGAGTTGTTTCTCTTTCTAATAAATCCCTTCCTTTCCTAAATCAAAAGAGTAACCCATTTTTCCCGTACAATCTTTGCTGTGATGAAGTGAACAAACCTGCACTCTCCAATAAAGCGTGTACGTGTCATCAGGTGAAGGTGCGTCGAGTCGAAATCTCAGATTCCGCACGAGCGTGCTTTTCACGCGCTACAAAAGACAGGGAGATATAAACGTATATAATATTCAGAAAAAATTAAAAATGATAAAGAAAAATCTATGGATCTCAAGTCTGTGGATCTTGTTGTAACACTCACTCTCAAGTCTCATGCTCAAGTATGGCATGATAGACCCTCAAATCCCGGAATGTAAAAAATAAAAAAATAAATTTTAAACTCCCATAAAAATCATCACAAAGAGGAAAAAAAATAAAAAAACAAAACAAAAGCAATCAGCAACAACAAAGAAACAGTACCCCATCAACCCTTCACAAAAGCGGAAAAGAAGAAACAAGATCCACCTCGAACCTCTCTCCTCACCTATCCATCCCCTCACCTCCCTCCCTCCCTCCCTCAACCTCACAACAATTCAATCCAATTCCAAATCCGAATCCATCCTACCAAATAGCTGTCTTTCTTTTTTCTTTGGGCTTTTTAAGTGGTTAATTATTCATTCTCAAATCTGAGCTGAGCTGTGGGATGATGAGTGTGTGAGGAGGAAATTAGGAGAGCAAAATAGTGGGAATTGGGTTGGTGGGTAAGCAGCTGAGTGTTGTAGAAGAGTTTGTAGGAGTGAGGAGGAGGAGGAGGAGGAGGAGAGAGAGAGAGATCAAAAGAAAACAATAATGAGGGAAGATGAGTCCAATTGGTTCTCCAGGTGGGAAGAAGAGCTTCCTTCACCTGAGGAGCTCATGCCCTTATCCCAAACCCTAATCACTCCTGATCTTGCCTTGGCCTTTGACATCAGAAACAACAACCCCAACAACCCAAGTAGCCCCCAAAACCAACAACCCCCACAACCTCCTCAGCCACCACATACCCCTCCACCTCCTCCTCCTTCCTCCTTGCCTCCCGCCACCCCGACCCACCCCAACTCCTCTGCCGAATTCGCCGATTCTGCCGACCTGGGGTCTGGTGCGGGCGGGGAAGAGCCCGCCCGCACCCTCAAGCGGCCCCGTCTCGTGTGGACCCCGCAGCTCCACAAGCGCTTTGTGGACGCCGTGGCACACTTGGGGATCAAGAACGCCGTCCCCAAGACCATAATGCAGCTCATGAGTGTGGACGGCCTCACCCGGGAGAATGTTGCCAGCCATTTGCAGAAGTACCGTCTCTATCTCAAGCGTATGCAGGGCTTGTCCGGCGGAGGCAGCGGAGGTGGCGGAGGCGGAGGCGGAGGATTGGCAGCCTCCGCGGACCCCGCCACCGATCATTTGTTTGCAAGCTCGCCGGTTCCGGCTCATTTCCTGCACCCGCATCCCGGGGGAAGGCCCAATTCGGAGCATTTCATGCCCTTTGTGCCGGTGGCTCTGCAGCAGCACCATCACCAGCAGCAGCAGCAGCAGCAGATGGCTGCGGCTGCGGCAGCGGCGGTGGCAGCCCATCCCCAGTATCACAGGCAGGTGGGGCATTTTGGGTCCCCACCAAATGGCCAATTTGAGCATCCATTCTTGGCAAGGCAGTCGTCACAGCCAGTTCATAGGATGGGGGCGCCACTGCATAATCCAGTGCCAGGAAGCTATGTAGAGGACTTGGAATCAGCTAATGCAACTGGTGGCAGGAAAGTTCTTACTCTGTTTCCAACTGGGGAGGATTGAATTTGGGTAATTGTCATCAGTTTTGTTTTCATCTTACTTTGAGTTCATTTAATTTCTGGGTCTTGTGAAATTGGTGTGTGGTTGTACTTGTTAGAGGTTTGATTCAGGATCTAAATTATTGGATTTCCTTGTTGTGTTAGTGGGTCTTAGTAACCTTGGTTGGTGGTGATGCTAGTGGGCTTCAAATGAGATCTGTGAATTCCATTTCCAGATCCAAAATTTCAGGTTACAATTCGTTGGTGACCATCGGGGTTTGTTTCACTGTAATTTATGGAGTTGAGTAGCATTAGGGGGCGTCTCTATGTGGCCTTTTCTCTGGAACTGCCACTTGTGTAATTATATTGCTGGTAGTAGCATATTATCTATATCTCCCCTGTCACCCTCTAGTGATGTCACTCAGAGCGACAGCAATTCAAGCCCTTCTCCGTGTTATACTGAAGAATCAACTGGGTTTTCATTCAACTCGGAGTCTTCTTGCTGGGGGGAGGGGTTTTCTCATTGGTATTGCCGGTAGGGGTGGAAGAAGCGACAAACGACTAATTTTGAGCTTGCAGATGAGGATAAATAATGTTGGCAAGTGCTTTCTCATGTATGTTCTCTGGATAGCTAAGGATGCTGTTGGTAACTGTGCTTGACATATTTGCTACTGCATTTCTTGGCTTATCAAGAAATCTCTTCTTTGTGGAGTTATGCCTTTGCATCTCTTAGTTTAGTCTCATGTAGAGGTAAGTTGTACTTGTTGTACATTGTGTGACTTTGTAGACAACTTAAACCCTGATATTAGGGGATCTGTTGAAACAATTCTGATTTTATAAGAAGGTTATCTTAATGCTACATGACCTTTGATTTCATATGGCTTTATATCTTGGTGCTTTGATCACTTTATGGCTCATATATTCTTTCATGTTGCATCAAATAAGGGACTCAGCAATTCTTTGTTGTTTGCATATTTACTGGGATATTAGTTTTATTATAGATTGTCTTTCTTGATCACTATTGAAACAACACCAATCTAAAGCATGAGGTAATGGAAGATCACTCAGTTTCAAATTATTATTTTTTGGTTAAACATTTGCAAATATTTAGATGAAGGTGAAATAGAAAATATTGGTGGAAGGATTATTTGATGTAGCAGCATCCTCAAAGTTGACAAAGTTGTGAGAGTCCCATTAAGTTAATTATTTTTCCTTGTAAATTTGTGATGCGAGTGACTAGAATTATGTATGATGAAAACGATAGAGAATGGCATAGTATAGACCCCCTTTTAAAGTGAAAGTTTGATGGTAATTACTAATTATGAGTAGATTTAATCCTTTATCACATAATTGCTCAGTCTGAAATGAAAATTAAAAAACTTAAACTGTCTGGAGGGTTGTCATAAAATTAAAAGATGATTTTGTCCTTAAATTCTCGTAACTGCATGGTGAAAAAAATGGTCTCTGTTTTCCATATATTGAAGTATTGGAGATAGTCAGAGTTCTTGGTGTCTAATTTCGTGAAGTGAATTCTGTAGTTCCTCATAGTTTAATACTATCCATATTTATCGCATCCTTCTTACATCCCCGCCATAGTTTTAACTTACCTGTCTAGCTTGCAAGGTTATATTGTAGTTAAACCTAGAATAAGAGAATCTGCATGTTCTTGTTCTTACTTCCCAACCATCAGTTTTAACTTACCTATCCTTCATGCAAGTGAATATTGTAGCTAAGCGTAGAATAAAAAAAATCTATGTAATCTTGTGATTACAGCATGTTACCTGCTGTTATTCATGTGTATCGTAATCTGGGTTGTGTGGGGTAGAAGGCTTTTATGAGTGCAAGCTCTTGAACCCAGTTATCACAACCCTTCTTCCTGTTTATTCTGTCGCCTGAGTCTTTTGAGCTCTCAAGAGCTTCTTTCACGAGAGGGCCATCAGGAACAAAATTTGTAAGCTGATCCATTTAAAGGGCTGATTGACCTTACAAGACGTTGCTTGCAGTGGACATCAGCCGTTTCTGCACAATTGAAACTCTGATTAGATGCTTAGCGCAAGGGCTAAGTAAGCAAACTACCTTCTGTAATAAAAACCGAGGAAAAATAACGTCAAATAGAAACGAACAGGGTCTGACAGCACCATCACTTTATCTTTTCCTTTTCTTTATCTCTCCTCTCTTTAACTGAAATACAGTATATTGTAAAATGTTGGAGTGAATAATTAATCTGCTTCTGTTATCACCAGAAGTAAAGCAGATGCATAATCTCAAAAAGAAAGTCAAAAGATTGACTCTACTGAAGCCTAAGATTGTGCTTGATGAAATTGCAGCTGTTGAAGTTGTATGTGGTTCCAATTAAGGTAAAGTCACATTTGAATCTATAACTACACAGGTATTTCATTGTCATGCCTTTTCCCATGTACCACACTAGTCTTCCATTTGCTTGCTTTAATATGGGAACTTCACAGAACAAGCGATATATTTGAAACTTGCTTGATGCATCTTTCCTCCACTTTTTATGCTACAATTTCAGAGTTGTTTTAAAACCTCTGTATTCTTTCAGCAAAGCATTTAGTCGCCTGTTGATCCATCTTTCATAGGTTTCACTAGGAGGATTATTATTTGGTTTAACAGTTTGATGATGATAAGTTAACTGACTTTCAACTGGTTAATGTTATTCTAATGTTCGGATGCCCATAAACCGATAATATTTGAACTCAAGACCTCCGTCAAAACAAAAACAAAAAATAGATACATGAAATCATTCTCTGGAAATGATGCCCGTTATATGTTTTTTTTTTGTTTGCTCGATCCTGTGAAGTTTCTCAAGATTATCCGAGGAATTGTTGATTCAAATATGTTCAAAGGTCCAACCTAAGCCTTGAGAGCCTTGCATTGATTTTGGGAGATTCCAACCAACGCACATATATAATTGGATATTATTAGAGTGATATTACAGTTAAATTAAGCTGAAACAGTTAAGAGAGAGCAGAAATCTTAAGTTATTTGTGTCTTTTTGCTCGTGTTTTAAATACTTAGAGCATCCACAATGATGTTCTCTATTTTTTAGCTAAAATTTGGCTAAGAATATAAGAAAGTTATTTTAGGAGCTCTCTAAAAAATTTCAACTCCAACCATACTCCCTAATTTGGAGAGTCATAAATGCTATAACTCTTTTTTGATTGGTCCATCCCTATTAAAAAATAAAATAAAAAATGGTTAGCATTAAATAAAGGTTTGAAATACTCATTAAATAAAGCAGCATTAAATTGTAGGGAGCTACTAAGAGTCCTTTCTCTCTCCTCAGATTTAGGAGCTCCTAGAGGACTCCCTATTTTAGGAGGTGGATAGGGAGCGTGGTTGGAGTTGCATTTTTATCATTCCTCCCTAAAATTTGTCTAAGGATGTGGTTTAGCGAGCCCATTGTGGATGCTCTTAGGGGATGGAGAAGAGACAGAGAAATTGGATACATAATATCTCAACACTTAATGACGGGCTAAAAAGAAGCCATAGAACTCTTCAGCCTTCTTCTCTCGAGTTTCAATGGAATTTAATTTTGAAAAGTCAAAATTTGGCTTGTGAATTTTCCAGTATGTTGTATCTAATTGTGAGCAGAATCTTGTGAATGTGGATCCATAATTTTAATGCTATTCATAAAACTCTATTATTATATGGTAATTGTTTGAGCAAAAGTCTATGGAACATTTAGGGAATGTTTGGTATCTTATTTGGATCTGATTTTATAAATTCAAAACATATTTTAAGTTAAAAGCCATGAAAACCTGTTTGGTAGACCAATTTTTAAAAACTCAAAAACATCCCATTATTAAAAAAGAAAAAGAAAAAGAAAAAGAGGTTTTATAGTTTTCTCTCTCTCCACGCTCTCTCTCTCTCTCTCTCTCTCTCTCTCTTCCCTTTTGTTAATTTCAATTTGGGAATTTAGGATTTCTGATTTTCTAATTTAATTTCAAATTTTATAGATCTTAAAAATAGTTTGGAGTTCAATACCAAACAAGTTTTTAGATCTTAAAATCACTATTTGAAAATTCATGTTTTTAAAAAGAATCATATTTTTTGAATTTAATTTTTTGAGTAGGATACCAAACAGGGGGACGTTTCCAAGTGGATAAAAATGTTAGGGAAAAAACCCCAAGTTATAATTCATAAACGAATCCATTTTTATCTGATAATTGGATGAAATTGGTAACATAAATATATTTTCTTGTCCAACTGTGTAGAACAATTGCAAAAGAAAAAAAAGGAAAAAATGAAAAAACTTTGTAAGACTACGCATGATTAATAAAAGGCCTCTCAAGCAAGGAACTTTTATTTAATCAAGCGTAGCATGCATGACTAAATTCTATTAGAAGTCCGTCTTAAAAGTTTTTCTTTTTTTGACATTTAATACAGGGGATAAAAAAGTATTAAGATGGACGTAGAAATAATTCACTTAAAATTTCAAATTATAAACTCATCAAGAAAGATTGGTTATTTAGTCCAAGATTACACAGGTTGTGGAATGACTCTCTCTCTCCCTCTCTCTCTCTCTCTCTGTGAAAAATCCCTTGCAGAGAAATTTTGATATTTACCCGACAATTTATCAATGATGGCATGTTTACTTATCGTAATCGGATTGTAAGGAAATGAATTGAGAATGAGTGAGATTGAAGAGAATTAGATTTCGGATTCTTATTGAAGTTGTTTACTAAACTACATAAATTGAGGAGAGTTAGATTTTAGATTTTTATTGAAGTTGTTTACTAAATCATATGGAATTGGGATTGCAGTAGTACTAATTACTAAAATGTCATTGTTGGGTTAAAATAAATGACAAATTTGGAATTTTAAAAATTGTATGAGGATATAATGGGTAAAAAAAATGAATTCCTAATGGATTAGATATCTAGAAATTAGAATACCACATCTCATCCAAGAATTGAATTTCAACAAAATCAAGAATTCAATTTCAAATTTTGTGTGACCCCGCTTACTTTTTAATTCCTTGATGTGAAGTAAACACATGAATCATTCATACTTAGAATTCAATTCCTAATTCAAATTCCATTTCTTGATTACTAAACTAAACACACCATAAGCGAATAAAGCTTCAAATCTCAACTGAGGACAGTAAAGCATCTTCCTCAATACCAATCCTGAACATCACACTGAACGATGAAATTGTAAAATCCCATCTCCACTAAGAAACCAAGCACAACGAAATTGAAGTTTGAACCTACCATTTGATTAGATGATGAATCCAACATTATTGCAATCAAATTTCTTGGTATCAAAGCTGCGGTAGAGAGAAATCAAGAGGTTGGGTCTGTGGTCATTGGGGGGACTGGTGTCGGGTTTGGGGGAGGAGAGAAGGGGAGGGCAGGGATCAGGAGAGCTTCTTGGGTTCAATTGATGCAAGAACCTTGTCTTCCTCCTCTTGGGAGGCCGCTGAAGTCGATTAGAGCGATGGCGGAAGAACCCACAAGAGAAGAGCTGGGTTTTGATCTTAGTCAATAATTATTAATCATTGATTACAGGTTACCCAATTAATAATTAGGAAGGCAAGCTTATGACCATCAAAATAGACACAGAGAAACTTATTCCATTTGGTAAAGAAATGCTTGATCGATTCAGGGAGCAGGAAAAGGTGATCATTCCCGATATATATACATACACCTACGTGATGTATGTATATATATACCTTGAAATTATCATCTTTTTCTTTTCAGAATGCATAAACATTACCAAAACACGTTTGGCATATATCTTTACAAAGATCTCATGAAAATCGCCCATGAAAACGTAAATGAAATCCGAACCCACGTGAATTGAAGATAATTTATACAAACCCCGAACCCATGTGAATTGATTTGTACTTTAATTAGAGGTCAACGAATGGAATCAATTTGAACAAAAGCAAGCTACCAAATGTTTTGTAGATCGTAACTAAAAATGCCAAGGAAAAATTAAAGATGGTGGTGTCACGTAAAGGTCAACAATTGAAAGGTATAATTTTGAAGCAAAAAGCAATAGTTCAATGAAGGGTGATAGCATATTACAGTCCTTGGCTAATATAGAAGATCAAAACAGTAAACACCACCACAAACCACTAAGGGAACAAGCTTTTGTAACACACAGTCTCAAACAAAATACCTAACTCTATTTAAGACCCTAGAAGAATAAAGAATTCTGCGTTCAGCTCAGTTATAAAATCTCTCCTCTACATCTAGTTCAATGGTTTTGCGAATAGTCAAAGCTCAGGGGATGCTGACAGAATGGAGCCTGCAAAGAGGTCAAGAGTAAATTAAACTTAACGAACATACAAAAGTTTGACACAAAAACCCACGAGAAGCAGAGTAGACATATACGATCACAGATATAGTACATATTCCGTCATATGCTTTATAACTGTACTTCAAAGGGTCTCTCTGCATATGCATGCAAATGTAAAAGTCAATACATACCATATTTATACATTTATACTCATCACAGCAGACATTCCGACTTAAGATTAACCCAAAATATAAGAACGCATACTTGCATAATTTATTCTCAGCAAAATGCTTTCTCCTAATTTGTCAAAATTAGAAATTTACACATATTTGGCCATTAACAACAGACCTGAGGTTTTGTTTCCTTTCTACAGAATGTAGAGAAGCCAAAACTTTATTCAGAAAAGAGATTGCAAGATGGGCTACTCTCAAAGGCCTTACATATTGGGCAGAATGGATTCGATTGAGACCAAGCCCAAATATAATTACAAACTAGAATCTGTTAAGCATTGGTTTGGTCTTGAATATTCTTTTCTGTAGGACAACTAGGCAATTAAGGTTTTCATACTGGAGACCTCTCCAGCAAAAGTTTGGTCCTGAAATTTCTGTTCTGTAGGAAAGTGACAACATTGAAAGAGTCGGTTATAAACAGTGTAAAAACAGTTGAGAAAGGTATTGTGATTCATGAAGCTGCAGCTGCACTATGGCATTAGTAGGCTGCCAATAACGGGAAACACAGAGAAAGTAAATGGCCTGGAATGATCAAGGAATTGGGGTAATGTCTCAGTTTTTTTTGTTTTTTAGTTATCTAAAACACAATCGTTTTGGGCATGTTTAATATTATAATACTCAATGCCACAATACCCCAGAAGCATACACATGAGGGATAAAGGAATGAGGCTAAAGCCTTTCTACACCAAAGGTGTACAAACACAGAAAAGGCGTAAGCTATTTTATGCTTCCACCAAACATAGAAAAACACCTCAGGCATTTCTGTGTCACCTTTACCTACGTG